GCAAAGGTTTCAAATGCATTCCTAAATAAGCAAAACAGTCCTGCTATTCTGACTATACTAAGGCCTTTATGATAACAGGGGAAATGCAGCTGTGGGTAAGTGTCTGGGGGGTACAAGTGGCTCAGGGCAGGGAGCTGGTACTGTCACTGCAAGCAAGGCCCTGACCCTAGTACAGCTGGGGTTTGTGTCTGGGCTAGGTGGAAATCAAGAGGAAGCCCCTGCCCTGCACCCTGATCCCTGCCTGGCTGCTTAGCCGGGGAAGCAGAGCTGCTGGCTCTGTGACATGGATCACCTGTGACAAGTGGCTTTTCCATCATCCCTGCTCCTGGCAGTGGTTTGGCAAGTTTCATGCCAGTAATACCTCAAATAATACATATAGGTGTGCCTATAGGTAGGTGATGATAGGTACGTACTTGCTTTACTCATGGTCATTTTTAGTAACTTGTAGTAACTTGTAATAAATTCACAGACACAAAGCCTCCATGTCCTTGTGTACTGCAGCATCCTACAGACCCGCTGTTGTGATCTTCACATACCTGAGGGTCACAATGTCCTCACAGGTCTCGGCAGTGACACCTGCACAGCCTGGGGCTTCTGCAGGAACACAGGCCCTGGGCTGGGGTCACCCAGCTCAGCTCAGCCCAGCCCAACCGTGCCCACCCTGCAGCCCCGCAAATGGGGGGGCCCCAGCAGGGCCAGCCCTGCACCAGGAAACTGCCCCCAGAGGAGGGGGAAACTGCGTGGTGCAGGTGCGGCATGGCCGGGTGTGGGACTGTTTGGCCCCTGCTTTGGGCACTCAGCAGGCATTGCCTGCAGCTCCTACGTCCCGCGACACTTCTTGGACGAGGTGGGCACTGGTGCCCCTCACCCAGGCTCAGGGCTGGCTGCTCCTGGCTCCTTGCAGCACTGTTGCAGCATTGCCTGCAAGGACAAGAGCCCCACAAGGACCCAGGTCCCTGCGGGGGTCAGAGCTCCAGTCCCTGCTCCCAGTGGCCCGAGCTCTGTATGTGTCGGCAGAGAAACAGGCCTGGAGAGGACATCCCGTGACCAGGGATGAGCAAAGCTGTGCAGTCCCTGCAGACCCTGCCAGGATGGGCCAAGGCGCAGAAGGGTCCTGAGCTTTACTCATGGTCATTTTTAGTAACTTGTAGTAACTTGTAATAAATTCACAGACACAAAGCCTCCATGTCCTTGTGTACTGCAGCATCCTACAGACCCGCTGTTGTGATCTTCACATACCTGAGGGTCACAATGTCCTCACAGGTCTCGGCAGTGACACCTGCACAGCCTGGGGCTTCTGCAGGAACACAGGCCCTGGGCTGGGGTCACCCAGCTCAGCTCAGCCCAGCCCAACCGTGCCCACCCTGCAGCCCCGCAAATGGGGGGGCCCCAGCAGGGCCAGCCCTGCACCAGGAAACTGCCCCCAGAGGAGGGGGAAACTGCGTGGTGCAGGTGCGGCATGGCCGGGTGTGGGACTGTTTGGCCCCTGCTTTGGGCACTCAGCAGGCATTGCCTGCAGCTCCTACGTCCCGCGACACTTCTTGGACGAGGTGGGCACTGGTGCCCCTCACCCAGGCTCAGGGCTGGCTGCTCCTGGCTCCTTGCAGCACTGTTGCAGCATTGCCTGCAAGGACAAGAGCCCCACAAGGACCCAGGTCCCTGCGGGGGTCAGAGCTCCAGTCCCTGCTCCCAGTGGCCCGAGCTCTGTATGTGTCGGCAGAGAAACAGGCCTGGAGAGGACATCCCGTGACCAGGGATGAGCAAAGCTGTGCAGTCCCTGCAGACCCTGCCAGGATGGGACAAGGCGCAGAAGGGTCCTGAGC